CCGACAGAAAGGTTCGTTTTTTCTTAAATCGCCACTTGGTAAAATGTCCGAATCTTCTCCACGTCTGGAATTGAATGAAGACCTACTACTCGAAGGAGATAATAGTTTACCGCCACCTAATATTCATAAAGCAGCTGATAAGTCGTCTGATTTGGTAGATACTGTAGAGCTTTTTAAGACAATTTTAGACAGCAAGTTAGGTGAGTTGAAATCTGAACTCATACAAGAACAAGATTGCCTTAAGAGAAAAATTAAGGAGGACGTCACTCTAAAATTTAAGGGGGAAGGAAACAGAATTCAGTACACCTTTAACGAGGAATTATTAGACACTGTTAATAAACTTTCAAAATTCATCCCTAACTCCAATACTCAAGCCTATAGATTAGTTCTTGACATAACTGATAAGATCAAAAGCCGTAATAAGAAAATACGCATAGCTGATGCTTCCCCTGCTGGTTGGGGAACCGTTAGGGAATACGAATCCAATGCCGTGGCTTCAGATTCTGAAGATGAGAGAAAGATACGACAAGCTGAGACCAGAGCTATCCGTACCTCCAAGGAGAAGTCAAAATCTCGCCAGCAACCTTACCCAAAAAATCCGCCTCGTCAACAACCTGCGGAATCTTATGGTAACCCTGCTTACGCTCAGCATTATCAACGTAATCAGCAACAGCCCTTTCGTGGGAGCTTCGCAAGGCGTGAGCCTTGCTCAATCGACACGTGCCACTACTGCAAGCAACAAGGCCACTGGAGAAAAAACTGTCCTCTTCTCGCCAGTCTCAGGTCATCCAACAGCAACTCCACAACCTACCAGAAGTAGTAAAGTAGGGCCTGAACGTCACTCTCCAGTCATTGTGAATGATAAGTATTTAGACACTATTAATGACCAATTTTCTACATGTTTTGTTGATAACGATTATATAGAATCTTTTTTAGATCAAGTTCAATATTTTGAAAATTGTCAGTCATATGATAAATTTAAAGGGGTGAAAGGTAGATTAGCTTGTCATGTAAAGTATTGGGAAAATATAGGTGCTTGTCCTTTTGTGCTTGATACAATAAAAAATGGTTATGTTATTCCATTTATAGATACACCTTTTAAAATGTACCACAGAAATAATAGATCAGCACGGCAGAATACTGAATTTGTCACAAAGTCAATTGAAGATTTAGTTCAAATAGGTTGCGTAATTAAAGTGCCTTTTCAACCATATGTGGTAAATCCATTGAGTGTTGCTACTCAAAAGTCCGGTAAGAAACGACTTATTTTAGATATGAGTCAATTGAATAAACACATAAAGCGCGAAAAAATAAAATTTGAGGATTGGAAGTTAGCTATACAATATTTTGACAAAGATATGTATCTGTTTAAGTTTGATTTAAAATCTGGTTATTTTCACTTAGACATATGCTCACAGCAACAGACTTTCTTAGGTTTTCAGTGGGAAGGTCAATTTTATTGCTATACTGTTTTAGCTTTCGGAATTACTACCGGTCCGTACATTTTTACTAAATGTTTGAGGCCACTAGTAAAATTTTGGCGTGGAAACGGTATAAAAGTTGTTTTGTATTTAGATGATGGATTTGGCATGAGTCCAGATGAAAATACATGTAATGAGCAATCGTCCTTCGTAAAAAGGTCTTTGATTGATGCTGGTTTCCTTATTAACGAGGAGAAGTCTGTTTTTAAACCTGTTACCGAGTTAGAATGGTTGGGAATAGTTTGGAACTCGAAAGAATACAAATTATCTATTACTCAACGTCGAGTTGACGATTTGATTTTCTCATTGAATGTAATTTTGGCTAAATTTCCCTATGTTACAGCTAGATCTTTAGCTCAGGTTGTAGGTAGAATTATTTCTATGACTCCCGTAATCGGAAATGTGGCTAGAATTATGTCAAAGTTCTGTTACATGGAAATTGAAAGTAGAATTGGGTGGGATATTCCCATTACAGGGTACAAACCCGTCGAGGTTTTATCAGAGTTAAAGTTCTGGTTAGAAAATGTCACCATGATTAACTATCGTAATTTATGTCATTACAGTAAATCTTCTGTTGTCATATACTCAGATGCTAGTAATATTGCCGCTGGTGCATACACCGTTGAATTAGAAAATAAGATTTTCCATAAGATGTGGACATGTAGTGAAACGGTACAAAGCTCCACATGGAGAGAGCTGAAAGCTATAGAGTTGGCCCTTTTTTCTTTTAAGAATAGTTTCACAGGAAAAACTATAAAGTGGTTTACTGACAATCAAAATTGTGTCAAAATTGTTAATTCGGGAAGTATGAAAGAAAATCTTCATGTTATAGCAAAATCTATTTTTTCATTTTGCATTCAAAAAGGAATATCAATTGACATTCAATGGATTCCCAGAAAAGAAAATGAAAAGGCTGATTATATCAGCAAAATGGTTGATTTCGAGGACTGGGGAGTCACACATATATTTTTCAATTTTTTAAATGATATGTGGGGTCCTTATTCGATTGACAGGTTTGCAAGTGTCGAAAATAGAAAAGTTATGAGATTTAACTCCTTATTTTGGCAACCTGATTCTGAAGCAGTTGATGCATTTTCTCAAGTTTGGACCAATGAAAATAATTGGCTAGTTCCACCAATTAATCTTGTGATACGATCGATTAAACACATTATAGCTTGTAAAGCTCGAGGCACGTTAGTTGTGCCTAAGTGGATTTCTGCTGCATTCTGGCCTTTGATATTCGATAAACATCTGATTTATCAAGATTACGTAAAAGATGTTATTGTGTTTAAAAATACTGATGGTATTTATAAGCAAGGTTCGAATAAGAATACGATATTCGGAATTGAACCGTTTGGTTCGCCAGTTTTGGCTGTTTTGCTAGATGCATCTTAGACATGGCCCTAATATATATAGATATATTTTAGCAGGCATGGTCTGTTTGTGACATGGCCCTAATATATATATAGATATATTGTAGCAGTCATGGTCTGTTTGTGACATGGCCCTAGTATATGTATATTGTAGCAGGCATGGGTGTTTATGTTGACATGGCCCTAGTATCGGTAATGATATTGTAGCAGGCTTGGTTTTTTATTTGACATGGCCCTAGTATCTATAATGATATTTTAGCAGGCATGGTAATTTGTTTTACAGTTTATGGCCCTAGTATCTATAAAGATATTGTAGCTGGCGTTGAAATATTTGAATATATATTATATTTTACTGTGTATAGAAATCTGAAATATGCTAATAATTCGTCCTCTGTATATGTATATAAAATGTTATTGCAATTTTACGTTTTTCAGATATTTTTTCAGTAGGACATTGGTCAGACTTTAATTCACAAGTTGCCTCTAATAATGATCTCAGCAGTTTGTTCAAACAGTTACCAGAATTCCTTCTTTCGTCCAAGGCTGCAAGTACTCAGAAGAAATATAGATATGCCTTCAATTCATGGTGTAAGTGGACTAGTCAATATTCTTTTTCACCATTGCCAGCATCTCATTTACATATTTCTTTATATTTAATTCATTTGTCTGAAACTGCAAAATCGGTTTCAAAATTAAATGATGCTTTTTACGCCATAAAATGGGCACATAAATTAGCTGGCGTTGCTGATCCCAGTGAAAATAATCTAGTTGCATCTGTTCTTGAAGGGGCTCATAGAAAAATAGGTCATTCAGTTGTCAAAAAAGAACCTATCACACCGCATATTTTGAAAAATATTGTATGTAAATATGCTAATAATACTTGTAATTTAAAAGATGTAAGAATAGCATGTATGTGTTTATTAGCCTATGCTGGCTTTTTAAGATTCTCCGAGTTAGCTAACTTGAGAAGGTCTGATATACAGTTTTCCCCTACTTACCTTACACTTCATTTAGTCAAGAGTAAAACTGATGTATATAGGGAAGGGAAAGATGTTGTCATTTCAAAAACAGGGAATATTACATGCCCGGTAGATGTACTTCAGCGTTATCTAAAGTTAGCTAACATTCCTGAAGAATCGAATGATTTTATTTTTAGATCTATTTGTTATTGTAAATCTTTGAATATATACAAACTTAGAAAGAGTAGTCATATTTCTTACACCAGAGCCAGAGAGTTATTGTTATCTGCACTTGACAGTTTAGGTCTCGATAAAAAACAGTTTGGCTTACATAGTTTGAGGTCAGGAGGAGCTACTGCCGCGGCAGAAGCTGGAATAGATGACCGGTTGTTTAAGAAACACGGGAGATGGAAAAGTGATAAAGCCAAAGATGGTTATGTTAAAGAGAGTATACTCAACAAATTGTCAGTATCTAAGAATTTAGGATTGTAATTTATATTGTTTGTCCCCCCTTTTTCTTTATGTCCCTTTCTTTATCAATCGAAGCTTTCTGTGCTGTCGGGGCGAGCTGATAACCAAAAACTGTGTTGAGTTTTTACTTTGTAAATGCTTTATGTTCGTTTGAAGTATTGAATAAGAACATAAATGTATTTATAAAGGTTACTCGGGAACACGTGTATTTGTTTACTTTTAACACGTGTGTTTAAATCAAAACATGTTTATGTTTAATTTGATTGGACCATCAGTAAGTTATTACCGGTTTAAGTTATATCAATCATGATAACTTCATGCTAGAATTTTAGCGCTAAAATTATAATAAGATATCTAGAATTGTCATTCGAGGTTCGCCTATCCGACAGAAAGGTTCGTTTTCCCACCCACCCACCCCTTTTATTAAGACTTCATAGGAATGTGAATCAGTATGTTATGTAGAAAATAGTTGATAAAATACATGTATGTAAATCGAAATGATTTTTTCTTCAACTTATAGAACATTTTTCTATTGTAGATTGTGTTTATATGTGATGGCAGCGGTCGATGACAGCAAATTGGACATTTGTTTATTGTTTATAATAAAAATAAGCTTTCTGTGCTGTCGGGGCGAGCTGATAACCAAAAACTGTGTTGAGTTTTTACTTTGTAAATGCTTTATGTTCGTTTGAAGTATTGAATAAGAACATAAACGAATTTACAAACAATAAACGAGAGGCAAGGACAAAACCGAGAACGATAAATAAATAAATATACAAAAAACCAACAGACGAGAGGCGACGAAAAAACGGGGAACAAGGTTGAAACGAATATACAAACAAGAAACAGATGAGAGACAACAATACAACAGGAACAAGATAGAAACAAAAATACAAACAAGAAACAGACGAGAGGCAACGACAAAATCGGGAACAAGGTATAAACGGATTACCCTTGCCTTAATATTTTTCCAGTACCAGTTATTTGTTAAACATTCACCCACAGTATATATATCAGTTTTCCGCATACGTGAAGATTTGTAATTTGATGTGAAAATAATTCTATCGTGTATGCAATAATTTATAATAACACTTTAGAACATTAGTTAAGTATTTGATGTGTAAATCGCGTGGTTTTAAATTAAAAACGTATTATTGACGGATACACGTCAATATTTTCCCTCTGTGAGCCTCTGACGTTCTTTGTGTGATCTATATAGCCCAAGACTACGTCACATAGTACTTAATATTAACGTTCGTGATGATGACGTTGATGAGGTTCCAATTGGGGTAAAACACATCGTATATACCCCGGCAGTTTCCTGAATATATACTGACATCTCTGTGTTGTTATCCAATCACAAAACTCGACATATTGTAATCCGTAATATATGATCATATATAACTCTGGAACAATAAATCCAAAATCTGTAATCATTAATTTACGACTCACAAGCTGTTCACAGAAAATAAATGATATCTCTCTCGGAAAAATCCGTTGTAAACATATTTCCTATTCATTGGACCCAAAAGTTCGTTTACATAATTTTATTTTTAGGTAGCAGTCCCCTAAATGTTGTTCACTTGTTTGACATATATGTAATATACTAAATATCATAAAATTTAACGCAACAGCTTAAGCCATACAGTAAAATCGGTTAAAGAGGAATTTATGGAGACTATACTTCTCGATTGTAAATAGCAGTAAGATTCTGATTATCACCAGGTGTGTACTGTTGTTTGACCTTTCGTCTTCTTTTTTGTTATATATCCACGGTACTTTGTGTCCTTCCACGGCTATTCTTTTATATTACATAACCACGGTGCTGTATGTCCTTCCACGGCTATTCTTTTTTTTTTTATTATATAACCCGGCACGGTGCTGTGTGTCCTTCCACGGCTATTCTTATTTATTATATAACCACGGTGCTGTATGTCCTTCCACGGCTATTCTTTTTTTTTAATTATATAACCACGGTGCTGTATGTCCTTCCATAGATATTCTTTTTTTATTACATAACCAGGGTGCTGTGTGTCCTTCCACGGCTATTCTTATTTATTATATAACCACGGTGCTGTGTGTCCTTCCACCGCTATTCTTTTTTTATTATATAACCACGGTGCTGTGTGTCCTTCCACCGCTATTCTTTTTTTATTATATAACCACGGTGCTGTATGTCCTTCCACGGCTATTCTTTTTTTATTATATAACCACGGTGCTGTATATCCTTCCACGGCTATTCTTTTTTTATTATGATAACCACGGTGCTGTGTGTCCTTCCACGGCTATTCTTATTTATTATATAACCACGGTGCTGTGTGTCCTTCCACGGCTATTCTTATTTATTATATAACCACGGTGCTGTGTGTCCTTCCACCGCTATTCTTTTTTTATTATATAACCACGGTGCTGTGTGTCCTTCCACGGCTATTCTTATTTATTATATAACCACGGTGCTGTGTGTCCTTCCACCGCTATTCTTTTTTTATTACATAACCACGGTGCTGTATGTCCTTCCACGGCTATTCTTTTTTTATTATATAACCACGGTGCTGTATATCCTTCCACGGCTATTCTTTTTTTTATTATGATAACCACGGTGCTGTGTGTCCTTCCACGGCTATTCCTATTTATTATATAACCACGGTGCTGTATGTCCTTTCACGGCTATTCTTTTTTTTATTTTATAACCACGGTGCTGTATGTCCTTCCACGGCTATTCTTTTTTATTATATAACTACGGTGCTGTATGTCCTTCCACGGCTATTCTTTTTTTATTATATAACCACGGTGCTGTATGTCCTTCCACGGCTATTCTTTTTTATTATATAACCACGGTGCTGTATGTCCTTCCACGGCTATTCTTTTTTTTTAATTATATATCCACAGTGCTGTGTGTCCTTCCACGGCTATTCTTTTTTAATATATAACCACGGTGCTATATGTCCTTCCACGGCTATTCTTTTTTATAACCACGGTGATATATGTCCTTCTACGGCTATTCTAAGCTTATTTATTATATAACCACGGTGCTGTATGTCCTTCCACGACTTTTTTTTATTGCCCCATCCCTTGATATCATGTTTTTTCGTACGATATATCCAATCTGTCACCTATAATTATCATAGATTGTATTCCTCTTTTTCTCGATTGTTACATAACCAAATGTGGACTTGCCATGATCAACATGACGGGCGCCGTTAGAACATCTGCTTACCCTTTCGGAGCATCTGCGATCATCTCCCGGCTTTTTGGCAGGGTTCTTGTTGCTCTTCAGTTTTCTATGTAGTGTTTTGTGTAATGTTTTGTCCCTAAGTCGACTTTCGAGTTTATTTTACTATGGCGTTGTCAGTTTTTTTTCGACATATGAGTTTTGAATGTTTCCATGGTATCTACCGCCTCTTTTTTTATATACAAATAACAATATTTATACTTGTCGGTAACCTCGTATCAAAATGGCTCCCTTGCTGTTTATCAGGTAGATCACCTTACAGTTGCTTTATCAGTTGGTCATTTCATTTTTAATTCTGAATTTAAGCATTCCATATGTCGTCATTTCCAATTTTATCAAATTTTTCTAACCTGTAACAAGAATACACTAGTTGTCGAGCTAAGCATACCCCTTCTCGTAACTCGAAGTATCGGAAAATAGGAAGCAGGTGTCTGAAAAAATCCGGAAAAGTGCTAACTTGTTACAAGTCATCACTGCTAAACGGTAGACTTATGTTCTGGAGGACTGCAGAAAAGTGAGACTTCATTCAACATATTGAAAAAATCGAAGTATCGGCAAACATGAGGGAGGTGTCTAGCAGACCCGAAAAGTGATCACACGTTACAACTCATCACTGTCAAGCTGCTGAACAAATATGAAGTCATTCTGTTTAGCAGTACCTGAAAAAATTGTGACGGAAATATTTGTTGGGCGAACGGATGGAAGAATTCTAAGTACGTATTACTAAACATCATCTACAGAGAAAACATCTGCAATAAAAAATCTTTCTACATTCCAGGCATTCTGAACGCTTAAATCGCATCGGTAAAAACATGTGTATAAAATGGTCCAAATTATATTTTAAGTACCGACACATTGTGTTTTTGCAGCGTGGAGACAAAAGTTACATATAATTCTGTAATATATTGACTAAATTTTCTTTGGAAAAAAATCATTTCATTCCCAGGCTTGTGTTTTTTAATGTAAATTACACCGACAAGTCCGTGAATTTAAAGATACATTTTGTTTATCTTATCTATAGTTATAACGGAGAAAAAAAATCCAATATCCAAACACAAAACACCCAATTTCCGACGTAACCCTATGACTAGGAAAATGGACACGAACAAGAAACGTCTATAATGTAACTATAGGATTCAATAAGGCTAAAATCCTAGACTCGCAGCTTAATCGCGTTTTCAATCACAGTAAAAATATATTTATTAACTCAGCGATTTGTATAAATTTGCCCATTAAAAGATTGTTGCTCCCTCAGATCACAAGCGTGTTGTGCTATGTTGTGTCATATTTTGTCTCTTGTAATGATTATTATGCAATGAAGAAGATCTTGTGAGTAAAAAAAATATTCATGTCTTCTCCATTGTCATTTTCTTGTTTTTAATGGCAATTAGATATGTTTGAAGTAATAAAAGGCAGTTTTAAAAACACAAATAGGCAAATCACATGTTCTCCGGTATTGGTTTACATATTTGGTCCAAGCGACACCATACTTACCGACAATTTTGTTCTACTGTACTGGTTCTGAAACAGAGAAAAGACCGCTTTTTATACCATGGAAATAAGACAATATTTCTTTAATCTCAAAAAATCTCATAAACAATAGAGATTATTTTCGTTGAAGTTTAAACCACAATTTCCTACCTTAGCTATTATGTCACACCACGACAACATAAAATATTCTATTTCAGTTTAAATGTTTGAGATAAAAAAAATGTTGCGCTAGTTTTTTTATTATGTCGACCGACCTTGATATAAAGTTCGTTGACACTGTTACGTTACATACGTTCATATCTTTATTAATGTTCATTATATAAATAGCTCACGAGGCACATAATTGGGGTAATCAAATACTTTGTAACTGGTGTTTCTATCTAGTCACGTTGAGTAGAAAAGTTCTGATATAAGTACAATATTATACTGCGTATGCCATCTATGGTAATCAACAGCATTTTGATTCTAATACTCTGGAAACCGGGATTATCAAAATACTAGACAGAATTTGTATATTTTCAAACATTTTTGGGGTATTTTTTTCTTGAAGGAAATATTCGTAGACTAGTGGTTAAGCTCACATGTCCCACCCCAATTGGAAAAGATAAAAATCTCAATTCAAACAATTTCTGATAACATCATTGATAAATCCGTGAAAAATGAAGGCGCTAACCAAGTGACAAGCAAGTGGTGACACACGAATGGGCTAAGGTTCAATACCATAGATGGCATACGCATAGATGTTGACTAGATAGATACAACAGTTACAAAGTATTTGATTGCAAATAAGTTTCGTGGGGTGTCACGAGCGTTAACCCTGTAATTTGAATAAAGTTAAATACATCATCTGCAAAAAAATAAAATAAAAAACCTAAAACGAGCTAAAAATGTTCATAAACAATACCCACAAAATGTATGAAACACATTTATGACATGACTGCATACATAGTACAAATGATCTTAGAAACTGGGACAACAATTGGAAACAGCGGAGATGAGATCGTTCGGTAACATTGAGACATTCATCCTTTGCACAATGAAACAAATATAGGACATGACTGGTACAAACGATCGAATCTAAAAATAAAATTAATAAGAAATACAATACGGGAAACGGAATACATTTTATATAAATCATTATGATACGTAGATTTGATATTCGTCAAGTGGGGGTCTACATTAAACAGAAAACTTAAAAGTATGTCTAAATTAAAGAGAAAAAGTTTAACTCTATAGATTTTGATTAGGGCAAGTTGTGAAGGCGAGTAAACGAGAAAAGATATAAATGCTGTTAATAAAATCACGAGAAGACCTTGCCTCTCCGTATTGGTTTTCAAAGTTTGACACTAAACTCTTAAATATAGTTGCAGCAAAATAAACTGATAAAAAAATCAATATTCAAACTTGATTATATCTTGTTCTTATTTATTATGTCAAACATGTATTACACAGGCATATTTTAGAATTCTCACCCCTCCTTTTTTTTAAATTCTGTTAAAATCTTCACACCAAGTTGGATTCTCATATAATCTGCTTAGCTCCTATATACACCCACTGAATCCTGCAAACAGTACAGTCGCTTATGTATTATATAAGAATTAGAAGATTCCAAAGGGACAGTGACAATACACAAGCCTAAAAAGACAGACTACAAAAAAAAAACCCAAACAACAGTCTACAAAACCCTAATCAGAAAACTAAAGACTGAGTAATACGAACCCCACCAAAAAACGGGATTGATATCAGGTGCCCCTGAAGGGTAAGGACACCAAGATCCACATGTTTCACCCATCGTGTTGCTCTTGGTAAGTAAACGTTCGATGATAAGTCGCATTCGGTGATAACCTCCCAGAGAAAAATAGGGCGGTATATTGTTGTTTCGACCTTTGGAACATATGAGGATCTGGTAGAGGGGTCCTTCATTTCTGTATTCCTTTAATTTTTTATGCCATTTTTCTCTATTCTTTATACTTTTTGCCCATAATTCTCTATTCTTTATTTTTTAACACCTCATTATTCTCTATTTCTTTGGTCCATTTTTCTCTTTTCTATTCTGTAAACCCCCATCCACACCCTAACATATCCGTCGTCATCTGTGACACAGACGATCCATAATGTTCACCCAAATAATGATGGTTTTCTTAAACCTTTCAAAGAGATGACTTCAACTTAACCAATAGGAACCCCTGGCTCAACAGCTTCCCTTTCTTGTAAGCAGCGACCCATATCAAAGACACGCAATCTTTCGGTTGTTTGTCTCACCACACGTCTCAGTCATTACAGCTGAACGGACGTGCTCGGTCAGCTTCTATTTACGGTACCCGCAAACTACAATGTTGGACTGCTGATGGATGGCTTAACGACATACTAATTTTGATTGCAGAAACCAGTTCAACGCTATACAGTCTGTATAAACATCCGCGTCAGCATACACTCCAAAACCGTCTGACGTCCGAGGGCCCTGTATCCGTGGTGTTGGATAATGGATCGTTATTTCACCGTCTCACGACAGTGGTCCTGGCTTACTGCAATCATTATTACTACGTCTTATACTCATCGACCAGTACTCCATCATCGCGTGGTTGGCGGGCTGCCCAACGACCTACCTGGCCCCGAAAACAGCCGTTGTGAAGAAGATTTCTTCAAACAAAAATAGTAAAGAAACCAAAACAACATACGCAAGACCAAAATGGCCGCCTTCTTCCTGACCAACTTACGATAACAACAATATTTTAATGCTCACCAAACGCCCGTGTGCACCGAGCCGACCGTGCGAGAGCTTAATAGCCGGTCAAAGATCGTAAAACACCCACCTGACCCGTTGTCTTTTCATCTTTTTCATGTTGGTGATGGTGTTGCCTGTCTTTCTTCGTTTTGTGGCTTTTAATTACCCCTATGGTGTTTCCCTCTTTTAAGTTTTAACGTAGAAAGACAATTATTCTATAAATAATAAGCAACCTTAAAAGATGAACTGCCTATCACTTCTAAAACAGAAACTTTGAAATGTTAAGGACTTTTTAATGGTTCAAGCCACAAGAACAGATTTTGTTGTCGCTGCAATATGCTACACAATTGACAAATAAGTACTCGATCGAACTATAAACAGTGGAAAAACATAAATATGCGTGTCAATATTAGTTAAAATTATTTAAGCATTAAAGCGTTGTTAATTGATAAATTATCTGATTAGTATTAATGTCACCATGACCTTCAGTAAAGGTTATTGACATCTAATCATACTGATAATGAGAGTCCCCCAAAATAACCCACTGTTGTTTCCGCTTTGTGTTATCAGAAGATCCAAGATCTTGACAATTTTACTATTTATTCGTCCTTCGTGTGTATAATAATAGGCATCAATTAAATAGGTTGATTTATGCAATGTAAATATGTGCTTAACCTGTAGAGCAAATCATTTTGATGAAAACAATAAAAATTACAAGAACTTTACAGGGAACTGGTGAAAGGTAAATGTTTAACGACTTTAAAAGTGATTTGATGCCGGTTTGGAACCTGGTACTCCCAAAAAAAGTCAAATTCATGAACCATAGCATTAGCTTCTTCGTTAAAGTGGGTTTTAAATCCACCACTTCACAGTTGAAAAACAACCACACATTGGATACTTTAGACCAAAGCCTCTGGGTGATTTGAGCTTAATGACCCTCACTCTTTACAAAAAATAGCTGCAGTAGTATCTCGGATTTCTTACTTTACAAACACACAGTATTCAGTGGGAAAACCGATGACACGAAAACAAAAGAAAAGTAACTCTTCTTATGAAAAAGTCGACAAAATCAATAATAAAACAAAGCCGGTAACCATGCTGATAAAAGTATTTCTAAACAATAATTGTACATTTTAAAAAAAGGTATTTGTTATACTGTGTTATTTGAAATATACATGCAAATACATGATGTTTTATCGTCATTATTTATCAAGATAATTGCATTAAAAGCTTGTTAAGCAAAATTTAGATAATGTTAATCTTTGCTGCATATTGATAAACAAAGATTGGAAAAAATCATGCACATGCTTAATATAAATCACCAATGTTTCTCTTTGCTCCACGTAGTCCTAAGCATGTTACAATTTCCAAAAATATACTTAGTTTTCGAGAATGCTGGTCTGCTCATTGTCATATTGACTTTCAATATAGAAATATTGTCTGCCTGAATATAACCGTATCTAAAAGTATTTGTACGAAGTATGTTATCCGTTAAAGAATTTTACTATTTTTTTACAATTTTAAGATTAGGTCGTCTCGATTTTCTACATGTATGTGCTGTCATCTCGGTGTATTCACATTCAATGTTCACATCGGGATAAGGTCCGTTTGAATATGCTTAGTAACTTAACTTTAAAAGTATTAATCTCTGCTGCATATCAGTCGATTTTTTTTGTATTTTTTCTTGAACTTTCATGATCCAGATAAATACATATACGGATAATTGGCATGTTCCAGAGAGGTATACAGCAAGTAGAAAATAAATTGTAGAGGAATTTAGTTGTAGCAACATTTTAAACCAATTGTACTCCTGTTTTACAACTCGCTTGATATATTTAGGGGGAAATGGTAATATTAATTGAACATTTCTTTATTTTCATTGTTACTATTTTCAGAACGTTTAGGGTGAATTTATAATTAAAAGCGTCCTTATAAAACGGGACAAACATTGGAAAGATCAAGTTTTCAGTGTTAGAAGTAATTTTTTGACACTAGATTCCGCACTGTTATTTCTGAAAGCCAAGCATTTCATCTTGCAATGACAGTTTTTATTCAGAATACACTTATAGATACCAGGCTTAAAATTTTGTACGCCGGACGCGCGTTTCGTCTACAAAAAAAAATCATCAGTGACGCATTGTTTTGGACTTGGATAAATAAATCGAAATTGAAACCTTCGAAACCAAAAACGAAATAAAATTTCGATATTTGGTTAATAATTCATTTAGTATAGGTCCTTAGGGACTGTTCAAAATTTCAGATTGCTGGACGGGTCTAAATAATACCAGAATTTTAACCAGCCTGATCATTCAATCCTTTCTATGCAAGTTCGCATCATCGAAAAAATATACCACAGGAATAACAATCCTCATCTTGCAACGCCTCTCCGTAGACAAAAAGAAGACTACTGGATTTGACAATTGGGAACTGCGACACCATATGGTTGCAATGACAAAA